TCTGTTCTCCTAGGAATGAAATCTTAAACCAGTCAATAAGGAATCGCCTGCTCATCACTAGATAATCCACCTGACAGACCCATGCCATCCCCTAAAAGAAAGTAGCCTTGTAATAACCAACTTTTTTTTTTCTTTTTTTGCTTGGTATAAGTTGCTCATTCTTGCTCCCTCTGGCTATAAAAGTCTTTCATTTTGTACAACTCCTCAGAGCTCCCTTCTATATGTTAGATGGGATGCTACCCAATTCAAATGGATTTTTGTTCAAACTCTTAAATTTTTAAATACACCTCATTTTATCTTTTAACATGAATGATGGAACAATGGATTGTCGATGATACATCCAAAGAAGCTACTATAGAAGAGGGAAGAACAAATGGTTAACAGAGAACTTAGAAACAAAGTTAGGGGAAGTATTTAAAGGAAGATAATTTTATCTTCAGAAGATTTTAATGAAAGCACTTATCTTAGCAGAGGAGAAAGCTAATATTTACCTGTAAGTTGCAAGCTTAATTCTTAATGTACAAGAAAATAAAGTTGTTAGTGAAATACATATAACCAGAAAATGTTTCTTTACCTATTTTGCCATAAGAGGAGACAAATGGATGTGAAAGTGCTTTATAGACTTGAAATGTCTTGCAAATCTATTGCTGTTACTGTCAGCTTATCCCATTCTACTTCTGCTAACTGCTGTGTATCTTGACTTGGATCTTTTATTTACACAAAAAGTAAAGTTCCTAGGGTTTGGAAGATCCTCCCATTCTCATTACTCACTTCAGGCAGTGAAGTGTCTCTAGGTTGCCAAACGCAGACAACTGCCTAGTGTGTGATATCCCATGTCAGCTTTAGAATACTGTACTCCTAAAAGTACAATGCAACTTAAATCCACAGTAGATGCAATTATTTTCTTACTTCACATACAGGAGAAGTGTTAGGAAACATCAAGTTCTCCACTGCTTTTAAAAGACCCCAGAAAGAGATGAAGAAAAAAGAGAGAGAGAATACCTAGCTTCTGTAGCTGTGTGAATTAAGCTGCTCTAACTTCTTAGAAATCCTAAAACTGCTCAGGTAAGGTATTGGTTAGGCGAAGGTGGATGATGCCTTGCCTGGCTCATCAGCTATCACTGATAGAGTGAAATGAGATGGAATAGCAGGCACAAACTAATCCAGCCTTCTCTGTATAGCCTAATGCACCTAGAATTTAGCATCACTATTTTACCCCGGAAATACACATGATCATTAGGGGTCAGGAAGTCTTGGGGTTTTGCTCTAACTTCACCACTAACTTAAGAATGTGTTATTGGGCAAGTTATTTAACCTGTACAAATGTTAGATTTCTTATCAGTAAAATGTGACTCAATGAGATAATGAATTTGAAAACACTTTGTAAAACTAAAAGTACCAAGGAAATAATTCTTCCATCCCAAAAGACTATGAACATTAAAATTGCCCACATGGAAGAAAAGCACACATGAATGAGACATAACTGTGATCCACAGATAGATTTACAGTATTATCACATCATAGAGGGCCAGAGGTCAGATAAAGACTAAGACTGGGCACCAACTTATGCCTGAAGAAATTCAGGTTTTCACGGGAAGCACAGAGCTCTTAGCTGAATATTCTCTGGGTAGTATGGAGATTATTCCTCAATATGTCCTAATTTCAAAGGGAGACAACTGTGTCTTGAAAAGCCAAGAGGCCTGTAGACACTAATACGGGCATGAAACATCAGTCTAAATTAAAGTTTTATAAAGCAATGAGAAAAGGTCAGGAAGAAAACATTCTTGCAGGAGGTGGAGTCCTTGAAAGTCAGCTTTGATGAATGGACAATGTGTGCAACTGACTGACCAATCTCTTTGGTAGGCAGCTTCAGAGACTAGGGCTTTTCTTTTAAGAGAACTTGGGCTACTCTTGAGTCTAAGAGGCTGAGTCACAAACAATGTTTAGCAATGAAAATAGCTTCTTATTGAATAGAATTTTATTTTCAAAGGGGAAGTAGGGGGTGTGACAAAGGCAGTAGCCTGCAGTCTCTTACTGATTTTACCACCACTACAGCCAGAGAAGCCAGCTGATGTGTCAAACATGTTAAAAAAGTGAAAGTATGCCACAGTGTATGGTAGTTTTATCCACAAGCATTTAAAGAAAGAAATTGGCAGTCCAGCTTCATAATGGTGCCTGTTATATGATAATAGGGATAAGCCCGGGGCTTAAGAACTCAGTCTTCTACAGGGTCCCATCAATGTAGCCATATACTGACCCATTCTCTAATGGAAATAGCTGGAGAACTAGAAATATCAAGACTTTGAGAACATCAAAGGCCTCATTGGAAAAGCCCCCACACAGAAAAATGTGTGGGCCTGAATTCTTCCATTCTGGAAGGGTAAAGGCCCGAGTTGATGATGCTGGGATGAAATACTGAAGTCTTTAGAGAAGCAAAACAAGTACAACAAAGTTGACCCACAGATTATTAAATAGCCCTTCCCTTAGAACTAATGCTTAGTTTGATTTGAAAGGTACAGAGAAAGATTTTGCACTTTTTAGTAATAAAAAGATCATGATCATTTAACTTGTCTCTAATCTTTTCTGAAAGATCACTGATCTCTAATCTGTCTTTTCCTTCATTTTTTTTCCATCAAAGGAACTATTTAATGCTTGTTTTTAAATTTTACAAAGATGTTTTATATTCTTCAGAATGTTACCTGATGCATAAACGGTACTAAACCAAACCATTTTTCCTTTGTTTTTTTGTAGTACAAATGCTCCTTTGAATGGTTAACCTTTCCTGCCTACCACTCTTCCTCATCCTAAATGTACATATCTACAGTTTAACCATGTTGTCAAAATCCAGTTTGAAGTCATATTCTTTCTTCAAAATTCTTTATATCCACTTCTCTTGAGGCAGTAATTTTTATGTTTTACTGAGATTACACTCATCTATATACGCATCTTTTATAATGCACATCAATTTCTTTAAGAAAGAATACAATGGTGGACTTTGCAGTCAGAATATTCTGGTTTCAAATCCTTGTTCTGCCACTTACTCGCAGTAAAGGATTCATGACATACAACAAATTAGTTAACATATCTGAGATTCAGTTTTCTAATCTGCAAAATGGGAATCATTACAAGTTCATTATAAGGTTTAAACTAGACTGTGTGTGTTCACATTGTTCTTTTCTCTCCCTTTCTGTATACCCGAGGTGCTAGAGAAATGTCTTTTTAAAGACTAGACACAAAATATAAGGTAGTAAAATTGGAGTTATAAGCAATCTCATTGAGGATTTCCTCAATTCTCTCCAGTTTAAGTTACAAGTATATACCCATACCATTATTATACTGAAGCTGTTACTGCATTATACTGAGGACACATTAACACATGTCCTAAGTATCCTACCTACTCTACAGACTTTAAGAATATTGATCTGATCTTATTTAAGCATTATTATTTTACACTCATAGTATTCCAGATGTTGTAGTGGATAAACCTAAGTCTATTAAAGAGGTTAAAAACATAACAAGTTGAAACTTATGAACTGGTTTACATAGAGCACATATAAAGTCTATTATAAAACTAGCATCTGTACTATTGGATGCAAAGCCTTTTCTCAATATATGTCATGAGTTGTTTGTAGTACTTTATTCATTTTTTCATAAAAGGTGCTCTAAAAATTATAATGGATACCCTTTCTAAGTAACTTTTGTCAATTCAATTCTGACTTCTATATAATAAGAATCATCTTGGAATAAATGAGACCAAATATGCCTGCTCTGAGGCCTGCTCTTACTCCACAAGTCACATGCACACACAAACACCCCCACCCCATGACCTGCCTCAGCCTCCTGGTCTGTTTACTACCATGCCTTTCTCAGCCCCAGCCACACTACTTAGGCCAGTATTGGTACACCTCAAGCTAGCCACATCATATTCTCTTTCTCCTAAAGTATGTACAAATAGTGTCCAGAAATTTTAGTTAGTAAGATACCTACAAACAAACTTGGCGATCCCTATTGTTCTTATCTTATGCCTTATATTTAAAGAAATATAAATGATCTGTTTAAAAGAGAGAGAGAGAGAAGTGAAATGGACATAAAGTGGGAAAAATATTTAATAGCTTGGCTGATCCCTGAGACCAAGAGGAAGTAAAACCACCCTGGTTGTTGTGACATTCTAACTCACCTTACATTCCCTTGATGCCCAGCAAAAATAATAAAGCAGCAAAAATACATTTGTCCAAACCCTCCTCCCCAAAACTAGCATTTGTACCCTTTCATGCAAGCCCTTTTCTGGGTATTTGTTAAACATCATGCCCATTAAAAAAAAATGTACAACAGTTATTAAGAGATTAAAACAGATACAAGAAATATTCAAATTAAAATAGCATAAAACAGTACCTCAAGCTCAATGAGCATTCATGTATTCTAGCCTTAATTTTTCTAGCTGATTGTGTAAGAAGTAATCTATCATGTATGCATTAGCTCAGTCATTGTGAAGATCAAAAGGTAAAACCATCCTAAACAGGAAACCAATATTCTTCCTGTTTAATCAACAAATCTAAAAATTTATTCTTTTCAACTATTTACTCTTGTCCACCATACCATAGCGCTCCACGTGTTCACCATAGTTTTATGACAAAGAGAAAATTTTCATGAGCCACTTTTGTATCCCCACCCCCTTAAAGAAAGAGGGAGGAAAAATTGTTTCATACAGAAGGCGTTAGTTGTATGAATTACAACAGCCACCTAAGTGTGGGCTCATGTAACCAACAGGGATTTTACCTACATCCATTCAGTCAGTTTATGGGGGTTTAAAGAAATTCCAAAGAGTCATCAGAAGAGGAAAAATAAAGGTAATGCTTTTTGCCACACAGGTAGAATCTTTGAAAATATGTGTAATATGTAAAACATTTTGACACCCCCATAAATATTTTTCCAGAATTAAGAGTATAAATTGCTTCTCTTGTTCAAGTGCTTCCTATCAGCCTCTGTAATCACTACTCACAGTAACCTCAACTCCTGCCACAATGTACAAAATGCAACTCTTGTCTTGCATCGTACTGACTCTCGCACTCGTCGCAAACAGTGCACCTACTACTTCAAGCTCTACGAAGGAAGCACAGCAACAGCTGGAGCAATTGCTGCTGGACTTACAGTTGCTCTTGAATGGTGTTAATGTGAGTATATTCCCTTTCCTACCAAAATTATTATATACAATTTTTTGAACTGGAGTTCATTTTTTAATGAAAATATATTATGCTTTCTCAGAATTATGAGAGCCTCAAACTCCCCAGGATGCTCACATTTAAATTCTACATGCCCAAGAAGGTAAGTACAACTTTCTACATTCAATTTATGTCTTTTTTTTAAATAGATTTTATTTATTTATTTGTCACAGAGAGAGAGAGAGAGAGAGAGCGTGAGCACAGGCAGACAGAGTGGCAGGCAGAGACAGAAGAGAAGCAGGCTCCCCGCTGAGCAAGGAGCCCGATGTGGGACTCGATCCCAGGATGCTGGGATCACGACCTGAACCGAAGGCAGCTGTTTAACCAACTGAGCCACTCAGGCATCCCCATTCAATTTATGTCTTAATAAAATTCAAAGCTGTATGAAAACTTGTTAACTGATTAGATTAATAGCACTTCATCTGAAAAGCATCAGTAACTTCAATATTTAAAAAAACAATTTGGTAAGGAAGCTTCTGTAAAATAGCTTTTCATATATATTTTTCTGCATGTATTTGTGTGTGTTTTGGGAAGAGACAAGAATAATATTCCCAGTTTATTGATGGGACAATTTTAAAAGATTATATTGACTTATTTTTATTTAAAAATTTAAAACTTGAGAGATATTTGATTATATCATTTTACCATGCAAATTATCAAGTTGATTTCCTATTTTTAAAAATCCTTCATCGTTTTAGGAAAAATTCCTAAGGTCCTACACCTTTGAGAGGCAGCACAGTAATGACCAATAATATGGTCCCTAGGACCAGATTATCTGAACTGGAATCCCAGCTATGTCTTAGCTTTTGTGACCTTGAGCAAGTTGCCTACTCTGACTCAGTTTCTTATCTACTTATGTGAATGATAGTTATAGTTCATATAGTTTTGTGAGGATTAACAGGTAAATGCAAAGTACTCAAAATCGTGTCTGATATAGGATAAATACCACATAAACATTAGCTATTAGTAAAAACAAAATTCTCCCTCAGAATATAAAGTAAAATTTTGGACTTACACATCTTTTATGCCAATAGACCTAGAGACTTATGGATGCTATATGACTTGTTTTCCAAGATTTGGTCATTTGGGTATTCAGATAAACATAGATCATCTAAGCTCCTATGGCTATACTAGAAGTATAAAGTTTCTTAGTAGTTGTGCCAGTCAACAGAGAATGTGCATAACTTTGTGCTGGAAAGAGTTTGTCCGAGGGTGAATCCAAGCCCAGAAAAAAAAAAAAAATGGGATTTAAAGGTCATGGATGTAATCTCATTGACCTCTTATTAACTGAAAAAAAATTATTCTTCAAACTACTCTTTTAAAAGATGAAAATAACTTGAGATGCTTCTTCAACTTAAGAGCCACATAACTCTTAACTCTAGCTTCATAAAGACACTAGACTGTTTTCTGAGGAAAACAGCTTCAAATAGTTAAGCCCTGAATTTGTAGTAACAAGTTAAAAGGCCAGTGGATAGAAATGTCGTCAAATGTGTGTGGTGTAGTCCTAAGTCACGCTTTAAAGATTTCTAGAAAGATAACATGAGATTATGTGCATAATTTAGAGGGTGGTGAAATTCTTTGAAATCTAACAGTTTCTAAACCACATCTCAAAATCTATTTGAAACCCAAAGTAATGTGATAAGCTCCACTCATTTGCTCATTTTACCACCATTTTATTTTGCAAAAAAATTTCAGGAAGTTATAAAAACACTTAATTCAAAGGATGCCATGTTAGAGCTATAAAGAAAAAGAACTAAAATTTAATCTTGGCTCCACCTAATCATGTGACTTTGGGAAAACACTTAAATTCTGAGATTTATTTTCCTTCTTGGTAAAATGGAGATAACACTGCATTGCTATCTCAAGAGGTGGCTGTGAGACTTAAATGGGCTTGTTTGGGAGTAGACACTTTAAAATTATAATGTGCTATGATGAGAGCTGTAAACTGCATAAAACTGATAAATCACAGACCGGTACCCCTGAAACAAATAATATATTATATATTTATAATAAATAAAATTATAATATACCAGAAAAATACAAAATACTATCATTATAACAGATCACATGGGTGAGGAAGTATATAGGTTTAAGTCAGGAGGGCCACCCAAAATTCCTTCAAATATTCTACTCTTTAATTTGGTTGGGACACATAATTTTTTAATGCATCTTAATATACTTATAGAAAAGTAAAAAATTAGGACATTTATATGACTTGCTATATTGAGAGTCATTACTATATGATTAAAATTCCCTAATCTATAAAGTGCTGGGATTGTGACAGTATCTAAGAGCTCCTCTGTTCTTAACATTCTATAATTCTCAACTCTTAGATTAAATGTTAGAATTATAAAAAGTGATCCTATACTTCTATGCTGTGACTGCTCTGATTCTAATAATTTCTACACAGAGGGGAAAAGAATTCTGCCTATATCTGTGATTTGCATTTGGGTACAGAAATGTTGACTTTGGGCAAAGCCAAATTAAGTTGAAATTATTGACTTATCATTTAACATTCATTCATTCACTCATTTTAGAGAGAAGAAGCAAGCATGAGCAGGGGGAAGGGCAGAGGGAGAGGCAGGCTCCTTAGTAAGCAAGGAGCCCAACATGGGATTCCATCCCAGGCCCCTGGGATCATGACCTGAGCTGAAGGCAGCCACTTAACTAAGCCACCCAGGCCCCTCTCATTATGTAACATTTAATGCTAAACATGGGTAGATGAATTCCAGTTTTTCCAGTCTTATGAGCTACACTGGTACATATTTAAAGTAATGCTGACAATAGGAAGAATAATAAAAAACTATTCTCACTAGAGACTAATTTCTGGTTCTGACCTTTAGGGCAAACTGACCTGACAACTATTTTTATTATTATTCAAGGCCACAGAATTGACTCATCTTCAATGTCTAGCAGAAGAACTCAAACTTTTGGAGGAAGTGCTATATTTAGCTCAAAGCAAAAACTTTCACTTGACAGACATCAAGGAACTAATGAGCAATATCAATGTAACACTTCTGAAACTAAAGGTAAGGCATTACTTTATTTGCTCTCCTGAAAACAAAATAAATGGAAGATTATTTTAAAGTAGTATAACATTTTTATAATTTGTGAAGTTCTCATGCATTTTAAGACCAATGTGAACATGTATCATTTTTATGTTAGATGATACACTATGGAACAGGGGAGAATAATTTAGAGGGTTTCTGCCTACCATTCACCTAGAGATAAGCCCATAAGCCAGCACTCTGTCACCTCTTTGTCACATTAATACAAAACTGGGAATGGGAAAAGACAACTGAATTTTGCAGAAAGCGGACAGGTTTCTAATTCTTTCAGATCATTTTCCAGAATAGCCAATCTAATTACCTAAAGGCTTTTAAAATGCAGTTTCCCTATTATTTGGTGGAAGGTTTGAGAGATTTACCTAAAAAAAAAAAAAAAATTAAAACTAAAATCGCCAGTGGGCTAGACAATTAACTCCTTATTTAGAGATAATACATTTAAGAATTTAAGTATTTTTAAATGCATAGGAAATACTAAATATACAAGAGACTCAGGTGATGTGAAGAGATTCATGGCTCTCTTTTCTCATCCCATCTGACAAAGTACAAATTTCATGAGTTAATAGGCCTCCAAAATAGCATAATTTTAATTATAGTAGAGCCAAGTTTCTAAAATTATAGTAATTCCAGTTGTTTCCAAATAAGTCATTGTATTAGTAGACTGTTTCTTTTCATCTACTTAAAAAATACATTGAAATCAATGTCATCTAAACATTGATAGATAATAACAATGGCAAAAGGTTTGTTACAAAATTTTTGACCATCAGAAAACTCATTAATTCTTGATGTAAAATTAAGATAAAATTATGTGCAAGTCAGAAAATGTCAGCTATTTTAAAATTTTTAATTTAAAATTAAATTTAAAAGTTAAAATTTAAAAAAATTTTAAAGCTAATTTAAAAAATTTAAACCTTCCCAAGAGGTTGTAATATTCAAATAATTATATGTAAGAGGGTATATAATACTGCAACAGTTTATTTAAAAGAAATACTTATCTTACTAGGTTTATATTTCCATGGTAGGAATTACCTCAGTTTGAAAAATTGCTTTTATCTTGTTATATTTCAAAATATTTGTCAGCTAGAGGCAGAGTTGAAATAGCTCCTACCAGCAGAGGACGTTATTTTCTAAAAAAGTCAGTCCACAGAACATAATTTCTAATGTTTAGACTTTTAAAATTTGGGAAGCTTACCTGCATTAATACTAAGGTGGAGTGGGAATGGGTATGAGTATTTATGAAAATGTTCTTCACATAAATATTTTCCAAACAAAAGCTTATCCTAACTTACTCTGGGCTGGTTCTATTTTGCTTTGGGGAACTATGAGGAGATTCACTAAAGTTAACAGGAGGTTTAAGGTCTGAAAAAGAAGTATAATATGTAAATGACTGTATACATGTAACCTATAAATAGATATATGCCCAGAGGAAGAGAGGTTTAACAATTTTATTTTGCATGCAACATTTAATGAAACATTTGTCTAGAACTGTTTTTACTTAAAAATGTTTACCTTTATACAATCCAGGAAAAAGAATTCTTGTATTCACTGAGATGGGCAGAATTGAAAAATGAGGAAAATCTTAGTGTACATGTTACTATCACTTGTTATCAACATAGAACTTTTTGCCATACCATTTCAATCATTTCAAGAAAATGTGATTGATTAATATATTAAACATACTTGAAAATAAAGGGCATCAGTCATAAATTATTCAACTGGGAATAAGTATATATGGGAAACTACTTTGAACTAAAAAAATTAAAAATTTTTCTTTTATAGGGATCTGAAACAAGTTTCAAATGTGAATATGATGACGAGACAGTAACCATTACAGAATTTCTGAACAAATGGATTACTTTTTGTCAAAGCATCTTCTCAACACTGACTTGATAATTAAGCACCTCCTATTTAAATGTACCAGGCTTTCTATTTATTTAAATATTTAAAATTTATATTTATTTTTTGATGTATGGTTTGCTATCTTTTGTAATTATTATTCTTATACTTCATATGGTAAATATGGATCTTTTAAGATTCTTTTTGTAAGCCCTAGGGGCTCTAAAAACTGACTTATTTAACCCCAAATATTTATTTTTTATATGGAATTGTTAAATATGTCTATGTAGATCAGTTAATAAAATTATTTAATAAAGTTGATGAATAAAAATCAGCCCAGCCATTTATTGTTCTAGGAATAGCACAAAGTAAAACATTTCTGAACTCATGTGAACTCATAAGATAGTTAAGATGCTTCCAAAACCCACTCTTCCCCTGAAGAGGTATGTGGAATAGGGAAATGGGCTTCTCAAAGTTCTTGCTTTCTCCTTTCATAAGCAGATTGGATCCTTAATTCTAGTTTGAGCAAATCTCATCAAATCACACTACTTTCCTTCTTCAGGTTATGTCTTAAAAAAGATGCCAAACTTGAAACTCTTCATATAATTGTTGTGCCTCTCTATCCATTCTCCAGCATCTTACAATTTGCTGTCAGGAGGCTTACTTGTATAACATATACCAAAGTTCTCCCCTGCCCTCTGGCTTTCCAATGGCTCCCACTACTGGGGAGCTCTGGTAGGATGTCTGGGGGACAGAAAAGATCACCTGACTCTCCATGTGAAGTAGTCTCTGGATGGCTTTACCTCCCAACCAAAAAACCCAGTTTCTCTCAAGACTTTTTCCTTCTAGGTTCTGCTAACTTTTCCTTCCACTCCTCCCTTCAGCCCTAGGGATAGTAACACTTCAACCATTACTAGCTCCAGGGAACTGCATTATCCCTTGCAGCTTCCCTGTACCATGATCATAGTTTGGTAAATTGTCTCTTTATTAGATCCTCCTTGATGTATTCTGAGTATGCCATCTCTTTTCTGGCTCAAACATATTAATCATGCCAGAAACAGCCACAAGAAATAGATCACCAAAATCAGATCTGGGTCTGGCTTCATTAGGAATATAGGAGTGAGATCGTGAGAGTTCATGAGATATGAGATGTAGATATTTTGCCAGATATAGAGGCTGAGAATTTTAAACATCTATTGACAGAGCCAAACTCATTTTCTTTAATAGCATCCTTTTTGAGGAAAAATCACTCTTCTGCTTAAAAACCTTCCAGTGACTTACAAATTAAGGGAAATTTTCCTCAGAACTCACCTCTACCACCTGTCATTACCTCTAGGCCTAAAATGAAAGTTAAGATCTCAACATCACTGAGGTTGTGAGAATAAAATGTGTTTAGACCAACAAGGGTGAAAACTAAGTCAGGTGGAGGCTGATTTAATTTAGGGCAGTGAAACTCCCTGGGATTCAGAATTTAAAGAGAACTTGCAAATGGCATTAATAGTTAGTTGAATAAATTCTTGCACTCCACAGTGGCCTTTTAAATATTTAAATACCAGAGTTTCCCTGTAGAATAAAAAGTCCAAAGGACCAGGGAAATAGAAATACTGGAATGGATCTATTATGTGCAGTCTTCTCATCCTGCCTAAGAAGTTATGAAGAAATGGTAAGGGGGACACTAGCTAGCATCAACCAAAGTTGTATCGTGTTTTTGTGTTTTTTTTTTTTTTTTCATTAAACCAGAAATAACAGATGGTGATGCAATGGAATTGGTTTCCCTGAGACTAGTGGAGGCCTAGAGTAACAAAGTTCAGGTGAGAGGTTCAGGTGAGAGCATTTAGCCCTCAGAAACAAGGTGGAAGCAATCACTAACTACAATAAACCAAAGGACAAAGTGCTAATCAAAGTGTTGATCCAAAAGGATCTGCAATGGTGAGTGAACACAAGATCCCTAAAAATTCAAAGATCCTAACTCTGCTGGGCAGAAATAATTGAAAAATCACCATAATTGGGAATCATGGACTGTTTCCATGGGGGGAAAAAACAAACAAACCATGCCTTGTTCAGGTTTAACTTAAAACATAGTTAAAGTTATACATAAAGTTAAAACATAACTTGGCTTGTGACAAAACCCTGGCAGAGAAAAATGATGTCTGACCACAGAACACCAAATGATTATGCCACCTGAACTTCCCATCATGGGCTAGTTATTAACTGATGTACTGAAACAATATTGGGTGAACAGAGCAGCACTTCATCAAAAGACGAAAGTGAGTAGGTTTGAATGGGTCTAGGGGGAAGAATTAAACTGCATAAGGAGGTAGCTTAGAATCTTGTGGTACTTGATTAACCATTCTTTCTCAGTCCATCCTTTTGGATTCTTGGGGAGCTTCCTATTACAAATTTGAGAGGGAGGAATAAGAACCTAGTTTAAAAATTGATTTGCTTCAGATGCTATTATCAGCCAGAAAATGGATGATCTCAGAACTATAACCCTATTCAAAATTGTGAATTTGTCTATTTCATGCAGAAGGAACAATGAACATAGGTATGGATCTAGAATAGACTGACTTATGGGAAGTGACAAAAGACTTCACTAGATGATCATACATTGAAAAAGAAAATGGAAAATAATGACAAAGAGGTCTGGGGAAGGGTTATGTGAATGGACCTCTTGAGAAAGTAGAGAATGTAAAAATACTAATGTTCCTCTATAAAGACTCTCATTATACAAGTAGACAAGATGACCCTTCCTGTGAATGCCAACCAGCTTCTTTCCCTGGTTAATCTAGTACTTACTCAATAGATCTATGTAAAAAGTGGCTATGGCAACAAAGATGGAGGCTATATATGAGCCCAACAACATAGCCTTTCACTCACAGTGACACTCACAAACTGTCACTGCCATCTGCCACTGCCACTGAGTACCCAGCTTCCCAAAAGCAGAAGACAATGCTGAGCATTCAATATGGCACCATTCCCTAGAGAAACCAGCTGGCTATCAGATGGCAGACTGATTAAATTGATCCCTATCACTATGGAGTAAATATGGAGTAAACACTGTTTTGTCCTCAAGAGGATAGATCTATGTTCTAATTCAGATTTTCTTTCTTTTCCTCATGTTCTGCAGCACCACCATTAGATTTATGGAATGCCTTCTCCATCACAACAATGCCTCCAAACAGTTTATGACAAGAGAAGTGTGGCAATGGCATCATGCTCATGGATTTCACTGATCTATGTATTCCATCATTCAGAAGCAGTTGGCTTGATGAGTGTGAAATAACCTGCTAAAGTTTCAGTTATGGCACCTGTTTGAAAATATTATGAAGATCAGGTATGGTCCTACAAGATGCACTATTTATGTTAAACCAGCAGCCAATATATGATACAGTCTCCCCTGACAGATTGCTAAGTCTGGCAATCAAAAGTATACTTACTACTCACTTACTAACTCACTTGAAATATCTTTACCTCCAATCAGTAAAACCTTAACTTTGTCATTTTTAAGGTCCTAGTGTTCAAGAAGGCATGTTTCTACCAGCAATCTTGACTTTGGTAACTGATGACATGGAAGCTAAGACTATGTTTTGGCCATATAGGGACTTTTCATGCAGCTGAATGAACAGGTACATAAAGGACAACTGTACTGGCCAGACTGATTGGTTCTGATGATAAGGGGAAATGGAGGTTCCTGCTACAGAACAGAGGCAATACTACACAAAGGGTAGCACTATATTTAGAAACCAGGAATTCCAGTGGGGCATTTTTAAGCACTCTATTTCCAATAGTACTAGTCAATGGAAAACTATACCAATCCCCAAAATGCAAGAACATCAAAGACTCAGATTCCCCAGAATTGAAATTTGAAGTCCACTAACCAGGTAAAGAATTCCATCCAGCCAAAGTAATGGCAGAAGGTAAAGGAGAATATGCAAAGAATACTGGAAGAAGGAAGCTATGATTACCAACTCTCATGACTAGCTATTGAGCAGGGACTAGTGTATTTATTTTACCTGTATTTCTTTCTTCTTGTCCCATACTATGTGAAATGGGACTTCACATAATCTCACTTTCTTTATGTGAAAAATACTGGTGGTGCTTAACATTTTAAGTTTCAGGAAAAGTATTTCTGAATTGATATAACTTCACAATGATGCCAAACTTGGAGAACTTCATTTGTCTCCTCTGCTAGGGCCACTTTTCTCCCAAATGAAGGAAGAGTGTACATGTTGAAGAATAAAGGGACAAAGTGTGCCAGATATCTTCTATTTTCTCCTTGATGACTCTACACCTTTCCCCATCCTGCTAAGCAGACTTGTGAGGATTATCTTAATGTGTTTTCCTTGCTTTCTGGTTTCTGGTTGAGTTTGGCCAAAGAGGATCCATGGTAAGAGTTGGATGAAAGATCACCTCAGGATGGCTGCATCACTTGATGAAAGGTATATTCCTCTCAAAGTTCTCCTTTTTTCATGACCCTGTCCTTAAGTTTCCAATAATCTACTCACTCCTCCTCCCTTCAGGCCTAAGCCTGGCAGAAGTCTCCCTATATGAGGACAGAAACCAATGTAGGCAGGTCTTGCATGTTATATTCCTCAAGAGAAAGAATGTGTACAAGGGACATCCTGGATTTTCTCTGAGGGTATGTTCCAAGTTATGGCACAGAGAAATGGAACCCAAGTGGTAGTCCCACAAGGAAATCGAAGTAGGAGTTCAGAGTTTCAAAACATATGGTATTTGAGAAGCAAAACAAAGGGAACTGTGGAGGAGGAGCCCATACATCCACATACAAATTTTCTTCCATGGCTGATCCATCAGCGGCCCATGAACCTCTCAACCACACACACACACACACACACACACACACACACGGCAGAAAACAGTAACTAGGAAGCAAATGAGCTATGTAGAGAGCTGTGTGGTGCTGAGGAGACACAGGATGGAGTTTAAGTTCTGCCATGGGTAAGGTCTAGTAAACATGTCAAGATTTCAGATGAGAAAAAGAAGGGCTAAGATTCTAGGTAAACAAACCTTGAAATAAGGGCATTTGTGAAATTTAACAGCTCTAACAAAGCCTAAAACCACACCTCAAAAGGATTCTACTAGCCTCCTGAAGAAAATTTAACTTAAAGATACTATCA